TTTCCCTTCAATGCAGGAAATAACAATCAAACCAAAATGTTTTAACAGGAGTTTTCTGTCCCTGAAGGCAGCCTGGAACATTCTTAATTATCAAGTTGGGATACTGGATAGGTCTAAACTCTTTTATATTATACATTTCCTTGTACCCTTTTTTGTGTGGTGACACATGTGGATGAAAAAATATGATGTTTCACGTGTTGGTCAGAAAAAAGGTTGTTGCCCTGTGGACACTTCTAAAGAAAGTGGAAAAACCTGCACACTGTTGGTAGTAAGACCCAGGAGATCCATTGGAATTTTACAGCAGAGCTGTTTGCTCTGCTTCTGTCTCTTTCTCTGTATTTTTTGCTTCAAAACCAGCTTGCTAAACACATGGAAAAAAGAAATCAACAGTGGAGTTGAACACATTTTGATACTGCTTTAAATGGAAGCATGTTTTGAAGTGTCTAAACCCAGTAACCCCAGAGCATTGTTTGTAGCAGTCTGTCCAGGAGATTTCTCTCAGAGGATTTAAAAGTATTAATGGTGGAATGTCTTACAATCTCAGTTCAAGAACTTAAGCCTTTAAGAAATTCTCCAGCCCTGCTGACATTGAAAAGGTTAACTATAAATGTTTGTTCTTTTGTTTGATGGCAGTGTTTGAGCTGAGCAGGGACAGTGCTCTGTGCTTCAGGGCACTCAGGCACTGGGTTTGAGGCTTCTGCTGTGCCAGCAGAAATCTGCATCCAAGATTAAGCAGAGGTGTTTTCCTCCTCTTGGAACTCATTAAATGTACTTTACAGAAGCACTTGTCTGTTCCCTTCGCCTCAGTTTTCTCAGAGTTAGGAATGCAAATGAACATTCCCAGGCTTTGGGTTTTTTAATTACACCCTTTTCCAGTTTCCGTTTTGATTTCTTGAATGATAAACACATTTTAAAATAGTTTGTTCTCCACATCAAGTTAATTCTAAACATTTACAGAAGGAAAGCAGGAATAGAAGCCTCTGTTTCCTCATAACTGTCAGCATTGTCTGACTGGAAAATAAGCAGACCCTTATGTGGTTAGTGGTTCTAAAAGGCTTTTATTAATGCTTCAAAGCAGATCCATTTGATAAATATACCTTATGTCATTCTGTTGTGCATTTGTGTGGAAATCAGAATGAAGCAGGATGTTTTTAGGAGTCTCAGCATCTGGTAACTGTTTGTAAATATTTGATTCATGCTTCTCTACCTCAAGCAGGTTTTGTTCTAGCAAGCACTGAAGTGAAAGGTAGTGTTTGCCTTTATCCATTGAATATGGGATCTGGGCAATATTTTAAAAAATCAGAAATTTCTTCTACCCCAGGGAGAAATTCTTACTGTATTAGATAAAAAAGAGAGCTGAGGAAAATGTTTGTAACAATACATTTTCAACTAAACTTATTCTCCACAAACCAGTGAAACGATTCTTCAGTTAACCCACTTAAAACAACTGTGTGACATTTTCCATGAGCTCTCTTGCTCCTAAGATGGCTCTGCTTTACATTATACATTCTCATTATCAGACTTCCCAATGGGGTTGGTTGTTTATGACCAGAACCATTAATGTCTGTGGTTATGTGGTTGGCAAAATGTGAGCTTGGTGCCTGGAAGAAGCAGCAGGTGCAAACTGGTGGCATGAGGTGCAGTGAAAACCCCTTCTCTAGGCACCTGGGTAGATTCTGCCTCCTCCCACACTATGATGATGATGTTCTGTAACTGAATCAGGAAAAACAACTGATGGGGAAAAAGGGAATGGTTTATTACTGCTGTGCTGGGTCATGGGATTTCTTTCACCTGCTGACAGGACTGCTGGACTTGCTATGTGACTTCCCAAAATCTCTGAGGGAAGTGGCAAGCTAATATTGCCTTCAACCTAGTGGAATGTGCTGGATTGTGATAAACAGTCTTGTAATGAGTGGGGAGGTAAAAGGAACAATATTGTCTCCATCAGCATTGTGTGACATAGTGAGAACGTGGGGATTTACAGCTGGGAAGCACCTGGACCCCTTCAGAGCCTCTGTTCCTCTTTGTGCTCCCTCTGTGCACTCACACAGCTGTGCCTTGTCCTGGTGGGGTTGGTTTGGGACACACTGCACTGCTCACAGCCACATCTGTGACAGGGCTTTGCAGAGGAGCCCTCAGAGAGCTGCTGTGCAGCCCCTGGGACTGCCTGAGGACCCTGCTCCACTCTGAGGTGCTGCCCTGTCAGGCTAAGGGAGGGCTCTGGTGAGGGTGGACTGTTCTTAACCAGAGATAGAAACCAACCCAGCCATGTAGACTGTGAATTCCTCATGGGTTTCTAAGAAGCAGCACTGCTGCAGCTGAGCTGGGGAGAGAATAGGTTTAGAACAGAATTGCTGAATAGGTTTGCTGCTTCTGCTGTGCTCAACCTCTGTTCCTGGTCACACTTTATTGCTTTTCTAGTCCAGTCTCATTTAGAGAAGTATTGAAACAACTTTTCACTTATGGCCAAGGGAACTGGAAGAATTACAGTCTGTAGCAGAACACAAGGAGAAGCCAGTTATGCTGACAAAATAGAAATTTCACTGATTTTGTCAGTTGCAGGACAGTGACCTGTGGTAACACAAGTGTGGGACAAATGTGCCTCTTGCTGAGCTCTGAAAATACCCAGTCAAGCAGCAAGCACATGGTAAAACTGGGTGAAAATAGGTCTGCACAAAGGCAGAGTGCTGCCCAACTGCCTTGTGTTCTGGTTCTTCCCCTAATGACTTCACAAAGAAGTCACAGATATTGATTTTTTCATAGTTTAAAATACCCCAGCCCCTGGCAGTCAACTGTGGTAATAGTTCCACCTCCAGAGTACATTTTTCTCATCCTTCCTTCTTCTGCTCCTCTGGGAACAGCATTGCAGCCCTACCCAAAGAGTCATAGCAGAGAGAGAACTGTTTGGGAATAGCCACAAAATGCCAGAGTTTCTGGACAGAAACCCTTGGAAATACCACTCTCCTCATTTCTCTTATATTGACATGAGAAGTCTTGGTCCATGCATGTGAAGTGAAAAAATGTTTAATTTCTAACTAATGAGTTTCTCCTGCCACCATCATCCATATAAGATCTGATGTCCCATAGCAAACAGAACAGAGATTTTTGTTTTCTAGCCAATATTTGGAAAGTTCTCATCCAAAACCCCAAAATCTCTGTACTGTGAGTGAGTGGCGTTTTCATCTTTTCTCACTCCCACCCAACTCGTGTCAGACTTTTTCAGTGCTTTCATGTAATCCCACTTTATCTGTGTTTTGTCTGGGACTGTGGTAAGATTCCTCCTCCTCACATTGCCTACAAGCCTGTACAAGTTAATAACCTGCACGTCTCAAATTGCAAAATAGAACAAGAAGTCCAGCAGTTCCCCTGCTATAAAAAATCCCCCAGCAGAAGAAAAGACAAATCCTCTGGTGTTAGCACCCTTCATACTCAAGAAAGGCAAACTCAGGAGAGGCTCTGATCAGTCTGTGGTGTTCTCTATCCTCTTTCATTGACTGTTACTACGTGGTTGACTTTAGAGTTGCTTTGACATCCCTGGGACTGAGGCCAAAATGGAATTAATCAGAAAAGACTAGAACCATGCATAATGGGCTTCTTGTCAAAACACTTTCTGCTGAACTCAGCAGAACCTGAGCATGACAGAGAACAGGGGGCTAAATGGGAAGGAAATTGCTAGCACAGATGTTTAATGTGTGGCTGCAAACAGCAGCCTCCTCCTCCCTTTTGTGTAGCTCAGACCATAAAGAATACTCATGTGTGCATCATCCAAGAGCATCTCAGCCTTGAGAGATGCTGGACCTGGGAAGTGTGGTGATAGAGCAATACTGTAAGTTGTAATTGCTCCATTTTTGTTTGAATAAAACCTATTGATCTAGGGAAAAGCATATGCCAAACCTCAAGAGGAAAGATAAAGTTGGCTTTAAATAATTTAGAACATTCAACACTTTCTTTTTCTCTTTCAAGTAATGGGGTCAAATTCATTCCTGATCTGCCTCCAATAATTTGAAGAGAATTAAACCATTACTGTCATTTATTATTTGTGTGATTGGCACCGTGCAAGACACATCAGGAATGGATGCAGTCCATTATGTTTTTGGATATAAGTTCTGTCTTTGGATTCCAGTGCCTCAACTTAAGCACTCACTACAGTATCACCTACAGAATAATGTTTTTAGTATCCTGAGAAATAACCTTGGTATGTCCTCAGGGCTTAGTTTTAAGGGACCTGAGCTTGCACTCATAGGTTGGAGTTGAAAATTACAGTGACAGTCCCCTGACAATTGCTCCCCCTATTTTCTGGGAGCAATTTTTGATCAACAGAGGATTTCTTAATTAACTCCTTATTTAGCAAGTCATGCTGCAGCACATCAGCATATGCTGAGGTTTGTTGGTCAGAGGGCATTGCTGGCTATTTTCCCCTTCTACCTTTTATGCCCTCTCATGAATATGGAGAATCTAATAGGTTTTGGTATTATGGACATGTCTGTCCTTAATAAAAGACTTGCTGCAGTCTGCAAATCTGATACCATCCATTGCAGTCCTCTGCAGTACTCTGAATTCCAGCAGAAACCTCACTGCTCCATGTCCCCTCACATTTATACACCCTCAGGCAGATAATATTCAGTGCAGGAATTTGAGTTTCCTCACCTTACCAGGTAAACAAACAATGTATTTTCTGGATTTCTGATGTTGTTTTTTTTTTATCCTATGCCCAAACTGTTGATGAATGTATGAAATATCTTTCCACCAGTTTGCAGCATTAAATGTTGTTCCACAGAGATCATCTCTAGCCACAGGCCTTGGTGTGCAGACAAGTTTATTGCACAGACACTCCCTGTGCACGCATTTGAAAGTTTCTTTAAATTTATAGGATGATTTGGCAATTCACAAAAATTTGCTATATCCATATAGGTATTTCTGACAAAATTAGCCAGATGCAGGTGTTTTCTAGCATGTTCTACTGCCACTAACAGCATTGTCCTGGGCTTTTGTTTCTACAGCCAAAACACCCCAACCCGGACTGGCGCTACTCTGCATCCCTGAGGGCAGGAATGCAAAGGTATGTGTGCTGTTTCTCCAGAGAAGGGGAATTCTGTCCTTTTCCCCTGTGAAAAGGTCAAAGTTTCTTCTGATGCCCTAGACTGGTGATATCTGTGCTGAGATGGAAAGCACCTGAGTTCTGCTGCTGTCACTTCCAATCTCCATGTGCTACAAATTCAGTCTGACTTGCATCTTATGCTGTAGAGCTGTGCTGTTCTTTCCTTTTACCTTCTGCTTTTGTATCCATTGACTGTCAAGGCATAATTGTTCCAATTATTGAATCATTTAATTGTCATTATATACTTTTTGTTTATTTTAAAGCTCCCTGCAATCATCAGTGCTGATGTTTCAATAGTCAGTCTGCATTTCCATCTTCTTGTTTCTCATTACCATAAAAGTAGCTGTTCCTGCAGCAGGCTTATTAACCACATGCTGCAATCAAAAAGATTAATGCAGTTGAAAGGACTTTTTGAAGATGTGAGATGGATTTTCAAAGAAGGAAAAGTGAGGCTTTTGTCCAAATCTCTTTAGACATCTTTGAAAATCCACTGCCTAATACTGCAAGCAGTCTCTGCTATAATTTTCTGCTCAGTACACTTGGATAAAGAGAATTACACTAAAATTGCATCTGTAGAGCCTAAATCAAACAGTATTTTTGCTCTCCCTGAGTAGACTAGAAAGCTGATTCTATGTTCAGATGTAATCTGATGTGATTGATAAGATTCCTGTCCAGGTGTAGCTGCAGTTCTGGGGCTGCAGCCATTCCCAGTGGCATCACAAAGTGCAGCATTGTATGGGTTTCTCAGAATTCTTGGTTCTGTACCTTTAGCCAAGAGTTTTTATGAGATTAAAGTCCTAAATTCAGAGTCACACTGTGCTTCATGTGGGCGAGGACACGGAGTGACTCCTCTGACTTTGAGATGCTGTGTAAAAAGGAATCTCAAGGACCACAAGCAAAGGAAGACAGAAGACTTTGTGGCCTACTGGGCAAGCTCTTTTCTTTCTTTTATATTCCTGCTGTGACTTTCAGGTTTTTTTTATAATCCATAACTGCAAAATCAATGCACAGTCTGGGGAGCAGGATCCTGAAGAAGGAATTCTGCCTACCTGAGCATTTTATGTACTGGTCCTGAGTCAGGGATGCTCTTGTGGATTCCTTTCTATACAAAGTACAAGATCTTATCTGAAGCTACTTGAACAATTAATGAAAAGTAAGAGCTTATTTTAATCCCACAAGACTAATGGGGAAATTGTAATGTTCCTTTTCTCTCTCACATCAGCAGCCCCTGTCCTTACCTGAAATTCCAGGTTCTGAGCCTGTGTGCCCTGCCCAGTTGATGGTTTTCATAAATATAATGCTGATTTTTTCATAAAACTTGTAGAAATGTGGGGCCCTGTATGTCTGCCACATTTGGATGAAACTGTCCCTTAAATTCAGCTGGAGGTGTGAAAGGGAGTTTGAAGTCCATAAGCAGAGACAGGGACACAGCCACGGAATCCTGTTTCTCTTAAGGAACAGCATATAAACATCATACTTGGTTTTGTATTAAAATTTTCAGATTTGTATTAAAAATAGCAGATTTTTTTCTTTTCCTTCCACATAATGTGCAAATTGGTGCTTTTGATGCCCAGTGCTCATGATGTACACTGTAAAATTTGCTGTATTAGTTTTTGCATTTGAGAAAATGCATTTCTCTTCCTGAATTGCTCATGAGAAATGTGCAGTAACCCAGGAAGGTGGGATTTGAAAAAATGGCATAATGACAGAAGCTCAGAACTAATTCCACCAACTTTTTAATAATTTACCTAATGTTGCTACATCCTAATAGCAAAGATGTGTCACTTCCTTATTAGTGCCTCCCATTCAATGAGAGCAGTGTCCTGCAGGTGTGTTTGTTTTATATTTTATTCCACAACTGGGTTTTAGTAAATAATCAAAGGCATTTTTTGCAAGTCAAAGCAGCTGCTTGTCATGCTGCTAGCATCATGCAGTACTGTAGGAGTAGCTGCACAGAGATAAATAGTTATGAACTTTAAAAGAGTAGCAGGAAAGGGAAGTGCTGTGAAGTCCAGGGCAGAAGGGAACTGTATAACCCAGGTGTGACATTTGCTTCCAGTGCTGTGCATATGGAGGAGGCAGGAGTCCTGCGTGGAGGAGCAGCAGGGCCTGACCAGCAGTGGCCAACAGTGTCCAGTGCTACAGCAGGTAAGGATGTGAAATCCAGAATATTTGTCAAGAACTGATGTTAACTGCACTAGACTTCCTAAAGCTGCTAGTTACTTTTTGCTCTGTTTCATATCAATGAGTGAAGACCCTCAGAGGAGCTCAGCTGGTCAGAGCATGGTGCTAATAACCCCAAAGCTGTGGGTTCAGCCCCTGTATGAATTCCCATTCCCTGAGGACTCAATATCCTTGTGGGTACCTTCCAACTCAGAATATTCTGTGATCTGGATATAAAGTTCTTGTAAATTATCCTGTGGAATCGAAATAGAGAGGAACAATAAAGCATAAAATACATCTTTTGCTTTACTCAGTCTCAATTGAGCACTGGAGATAAGAGTCCCTGATCCCAGCTTTCACCCTGCTTTTGGAGGTCACTGGTTTGTGTAATGGAATAATAGAATAATGGTTCAGTTCTGATGTGTGTATTCAGGTGTGTGCATTCCAGAGCTGGTTTGCCCTCCATTTCTAAAGAACAGTAAAACTGGGCTAGGAGCTTATCAGTTTTCCCTTTGTTATTTTTACAAAGCCAGTAAGTATCTTTGAATGTCTCTTCTCATTTTACTTTTCTGTGGTGAAATCAGACCTAAATTTTTGCTAGCTATTTTCATTCACTCATACACAAGGATGGAAACGAAAATGTTATTTATTTGTCAAAATAAATGACAAAAAGCATGGTTTAGAATATAGCTTCATTCACTCTGTCACTGACTGATGACTTCACAGCAAGTCAATAAGAATTGGCAGAAGGCTCTCATGGAGTTTAGAAAAAAAATCACCAGTATGTTTTGTAGTACAGACAAAAAAAAAATTCTCGCTTTTGATTTTGGAGTAGGAATAATGTAGAGACACAGAGGAGCAGTCAGTCCCTGTTTTCAGCCATTTTCAGCAAAACTAAACTGTAAATTCAGTGGATGCCTGTGGAGGGTGGTGAGCCCTGTATGGCAGCGCTGTGAGCACTCAGTCAGGAACTGACATGAGGAATGATGCCCATGTCACAGAGGCAGCTCAAATGCTGCAAAAATGATAATTACTTCATTTAATCTTTTGGTGCAAACATTTCTTTCTGTTTAAATGGGATTTTCACCTGGATAAAGGGCTGACGAACAACCTGAGGATTTGCAATCACAGTTACAACATCCACAAATTAATGGTGCCCAGCAAAACCTGCAGAAGAGCTGTTTGCATAAACAGACTTGGGAATTAATTTAATATATCATGGAGCCCTAGGCTATGATCAGCTGGGGTTTGAGTGCCCTTCTTTCTGCTGCAGGCTTTGCAGGAACACACAGCCTTTGCAGAACATGAGGGGTGTGTGACTGTTGAGCTTGCATTTGAAAATGTCACCACAAGAACACTCCAACCTTTCCAAAGGCTTCCCTCAGGCTTTGGCTGCACTGATCATCCTTGACTGAGCACTCAGTGCTTTGCCTCATACCCAGTTCAATATGGATACAGACATTCTCCCAGATGTTTCCATGGTGGTGCTGCCAATTTCCAAAAGCACCTGAATCTAAGTGCAAAGTTAGGATGGATCTGTCATCTGAGGAGGTGCAGTGGCATTTGGGGCCCAGAGCCCTGTTCCTCTATCTGGAGCCCTGCTTGCTATTCTGTTTTGGGTCTTATCAATTTGGACTTGCTTTGTGAACCTGAACATCTCTTTGTTTGAGCAGCAGTAACCCTTGGCTCTTATTGCTGCTTCGTTCCATGACCTGTGAAGCACTTGTGCAATGAGAACATCCCAGCACAAAGAAGATTTTGGTTTGTCTTTGTGCCCTCCCAAGGGATTAGTGACCCTGATATTACATTAATTAGACTTTTTTCTTTTTTTGTGGTGAGTTTCAGATAATGTTCTTCTCCTCTCTTTGTAACCTAAAGCTTTAGATATCCCTGATCCTTAACAGCAAACAGGTGTTTCATGGAGAAATCTCAGCATTAAAGGTTGTGTTAGCTTTTGTAGCCTCAGAACACCACATATTTAGCAAATTACTACCACTGCTTTAGAATCCTGCTTACAGTTTCCCACACATATCTCTTTCAGTGCTTCTTTCCTTTTCTGGTTTAGGTTCAAGACCTGTAATAACAAGTCAAGTGTTAAATCAGTAAATCCTTAATTCCTTATATATGGCTGAATTCCAACATCATCACGTTTTTCAACAAATATATGTTCCCAAAAAACCCCTGGTCCTTATTTGACTGACAGCATTCCTGTTTACTTTACTGAATATTTCATCCATGCAAAGAACAGTGAATCTGGATGTGGCATTTTTAAAATTGGGTTTGCATCTTCTCAGGCACCAGTCCAACCCATTGCAGGTTTGCAGCTGGGAGACTTCTGGGTGAGGTGGGACAAGAAGGTTCAAACTCCCTCTGGCTTTGAGTTGAGCTCTCTGGGGCATCTTGTTAGTCCCCCACATGTTATATAGTGAGATCAGGGAATGAAGACACATTTCTGGTTTCTACTTCATGTTCTTTAGCAGTTTTGGCAAATCTGTGAGACTTTAAATGACCACTAATGTGAGTGAACTCTGTTTTTTTGATAACTAACTCAGAATAAATGGAGCTTGATTGGCAAAAGTGATAAGAGCTCAATACAGAAACTAAGATGAACAGAAATTTTGCTCTAGACATAAAACACTGAAGATTTCTGAATAAATCAGACTTATGAATAATTCAGAGCTTAGAGTTAGCAGGCATTAGACAAATCCATGACTATTTCTCTGTGCTGCTGGTTCCAATCTACAAAACAGAACTGGTGTAATGCAAATGCTTCAAAATGCATTTTTGCTAGACAAAACTAGTCTAAAGATGCTTTCATAGGACATGTAAGACTCAGGAGAACAATAAGGATTTGTGATGAAAAACAGTAGTGAGAAATTTCAACTCCTGTATTCAATGTATACTTTAGATGTGTGCAGTAAATCAGACACTGGGCCACACACTATATGTAGAGAGAGGAAAATAAAAGACTTCCATTCAGACAGTTTTGTAAAAGAGGAAAGGATTTAATGATAAAATCTGCATCTGAAATCTGTAAGTGTGTAGGTGAAGCTGTCGGTGAATTAATGGCGTCTCTGAAGTCCATGTCAATAGCCCACAGACTTTCAGGAAATTAGGATTTCAATGTCTGCCCTCATAAATATGCACAAGAGACAATTAAGATTGCCTAGGCAAATGCCATCCTAAAATACACTCATTTTTTAATTCTGATTTTGCTGTGGTAGCATTCTTCTAAATATATCTGCTATTTCTTTTCCTTTTCTCAGGGAATTAGCTGGGGAGGAGAGGTGGTAACACTGTTTTGTAAAGCTCCAACAGGTCAATGTGCTTCCTGTGCTGGGGCCTCAGAGTTATTTTAACCTGTCTGCACTGCCTGGGCTCTCCCAAGGACAGAAGGACAGCAGACAGACCATCATGGACTGGCTGGGAGCATTGCAGGAAGAAATGTTTCCCTGTGAGGGTGGGCAGGCCCTGGCTCAGGGTGCCCAGAGCAGCTGTGGCTGCCCCTGCGTCCCTGGAAGTGTCCAAGCCCAAGGACAGGGTTTGGAGCAGCCTGGGATGTTGGAAGGTGTCCCATGGCAGGGGGGTGGAACAAGATATAAATAAGATCCCTTTATACAAAGCTATTTGCATCTCATCACCCCAAATGTGAATCTTTCAGCATTTGTCCTCTGAAATTTGTGTGTCTCTCAACTTTCCTGGTTTCATGCCATTTTTCCTGCTGTTCCTAACTTCCTGCCTATGACCTTCTCATGTGTGCCATGCTAGCTAGGGATATTCCTTGTCCACATAGTCCTGGGCTGCCCTGGGTTTACACTGGGAACTACAATTTCCCTGGAATAAATTTGTATTGCTCCCAGAGGAAGGTTCCTGATGCAATCTCCTGGAATGTAGAGGAGGTCCATTGATGGGGCATGATATGCAGAATAAGTTAGGAATTCAGAAAACTAATTGTGAACCAACTGTGAATATGTCAAAAAAACAAAATTTCCTGAAAAATAAAGTCAGTCTTCCTAGTGAATTTTGTGCTGCTGGTTTGGGGCAGGGTGTTGTGAACAGAACAACTGTGGGAAAACTGTGAAGAAAGGACAGGAGTTCTTGCGTGGATTATAAGAAAAAATGTGCAAGAATGCCTTGACAAGGAAAGAAATAATTATAATTATCCGCTGTTAGTTGTGGTATTCCCAATTCTCTGTTTCACAGACTAATTTGGATGTCAAGTAAGTAAATCCAACCTGAATAAGATTATTATATCTGAAAGAGATACTTCATTCCAATGAAACTCTGAGATGAGATACAGGATGATAGTGCAAGGAGAAGAGATCTGAGCAGATAATCCTAAGGGCATGAGACAGGACGCTATTATTTAATGAAGGGATGGGACCACAGTTGGGCTAAAAATGATTTATTGCTCAAATAAACATCAGTTTCAGAGGCTGTGAGATTTAAGAGAGCAAGCAGTCAGCCAGAGCTCAAAATGATCACAAGAAAATATAGAACTTTCTAATCCAATGGACAGTTGCCACAAAGTTTATTTTGCTTTTCTAACCTATCACCTTTACTTAATTTTGCTGCACTGTGGATACTTTTATCCATTGCCTTCTGTCTCACATGCACACAGGTGCTTCTATTATAACCTCCAAACTCTTACCTTACTCTGTACAACCACACCCCTACATTATAAACCCTTCACCATCTTATTAATACAGAATATTAGTATTAAGGTATATTCTTTCTTATAGAAACACAAGTTCATGATTTTTCTGCTTAATGTCTATGTATTATATTTCTACATCAATCTAAGCTTCTCCCAAGGCTGCAGATCGAATTCTTCAGTGTCTGTGGAAGTTTCTATCTTTCCATTTCTCACATCACACCAGTAAAAATCTTGCATAGAAAGGTGAGCACAGAGAATCTGGCAGAGAGAAACAGTTGGAAGAGATGCTAGAAGGTCTGCAGGAGGCAGATTCCAAGGGAATGGCAGT